CTGTCTCTGAGCTTTATTTTTTGCTCAGGGCTGGCACTCTACCACTTGAACCACAGCTCCACTTCCAACTTTTTTTGGAAGTTTACTGGCAACATGAGTTTCATAAACTTTCCTGCCTGGCTAGCTTCAAGCCACAAACCTTAGACCTCAGCCTCTTGAAGAGCAAGGATTGTAGGCATGAGCCACCAGGACCTGGCTCCCTGGAGGCTTTAGGTAGCATCACCACACAGGGAAGCTGGACCTGCTAACCGGTTGTGTCATATTCCTCTCACTCCCGCCCCCGCCTGCTCCACACACATATCAAGCCCTGCCTGCTCCACACACATATCAAGCAGCCTTGTTCCAAATTATGGGAGTCACTGAATATTTGTAGGTTGGGAATAACATAAAAGAGTAGCATCTTTGGGCTGGGAAGGTGGCTCAGTGGTAGAGTGCTTGCCTTGCATACAGGAGGCCCTGGGTTCGATTCCTCATAAGCAGAAAAAGCCAGAAGTGGTGCTGTGACTCAAGTGGTAGTGCACTTGCCTTGAGCCAAAGAGCTCAGGGACAGCGCTCAAGCCCAGAGTTCAGGCCCCATGACAGACAAAAAATAAAAATAATAAAAATAATAGAGTAACATCTTTGTGAGCAGAGTGGATCAGGAAAGAGAGAGATAGGGAAAGGGGGACTATGAAAGAGCTGAAAAGTATGAAGAAGGCAACAGAAGTTGGGCATGCTGGTGGCTCACACCTGTAATCCTAGCTACTCAGGAGGCTGAGATCTGAGGATTGGGGTTGGAAGCCAACCTGGATAGAAAAGTTCCCATGAAGACTCTTATCTCCAATTAACCACTGGAAAACTGGAAGTAGTGCTGTGGTGCTCAAGTGGTAGAGTGCTAGCCTTGAGCTGAAGAGCTCAGGCACAGTGCCCAGGCCTTGAGTTCAAGTCCACGACCACCGACTGACCACTGACAAAAAAAGGAAAAAAAAGACACCAGAGCTGGGCGTGATGATGCATGCCTATAATACCTATAATTCCAGTACTCAGAAAACCTAGACAGGAGAATCTTAAGTTAGGTCAACCTCAAACAAACAAACAACAAAAAGAAAGCCCTAAGAAGGAAAATGGAAAAGGAGAGAGAGAGTTTTGCAAGCATTTCCATAGCTCTCTTTTGTCTCACTATCTTCTATTCCTTTTTCTTATGATCACTGGTATTAAGGCTCTGTAGTAGAGACCTATGGTATCTCAAAGCTCAGGATCTAATGAATCCTTTAGGTTAACTGACATCTCCCTTACTCATACTCTAGCAGGCATCACTTAGAGTGAACAGAGAAGATAGATTAACCAGGCCCTGTTCCTCCTTCCTAGACTTGAATTCCTGGGCCCATATATACATCCTTGAGCAGGATGCAGGTGGAGTTCAGATTAGAATATCTGGCCCAGTAGAAAGATTGATCCCTTGGAGAACTCTCCAGGTTCTTTGAGTGAGGCAGGGGTGATGGCCGGCACCTGAAGCACCTTAAAACCTTCCCATTTAGGAAAGTTGATGAAACCCTAATTTTCAATTAACTACCAAAACAGCCAGAAGTGGAGTTGTGGCTCTAATGATAGAGCTCTAGACTTGAGCACAAAAACTCAGGGACAGCACTCAGACTCTGTTCAAGCCCCAGGACTGGCACAAAAAACAAACATATAAATAAGAAGCTTCCTGTGGCTGGATCAGAATCAGGACAGATATGACCAGGCTGTTGAAAGGCTCAAGACCTCATCCTCATCCTTCCAAAGGCAGAGTCTGTGGTTGCAGAGGACCTACAGTTTGGGTAGAGTATCAGCAGCAAAGCTTCTGGGGCTTCTTCACTTGCAAAGGGCTTTCCCATACAAGATTTCATTTAACTCCCATAATCATCCTGCATGGCAGGAACAGCCATTCCCACTTTCTAACAAGGTAGGAAAGCATCAAATTGTTCAAAATTACATAGACTGTGGATATCAAAATAGTAATAATAATAATCAGAGAGGAAGAAAGAAACAGGAGAGAAAGGAAGAGAAAGAAATAGGAAGAGAGAGAAAGTGGAAGGAAGAGACAGAAACACAGAGAAATGGTTGAGCCATTCTGCTCATTGCATGCCTCCCCACTTCCACTGGCAGCCATTGTGATGATTTACACCGATCTCCCAATCTCTGAAGGATTCCATTTCTACTTCTGACCTCTATCACCTCTCTGTAAAGGAGTTCTGAAAGTTGGCTGCCCATTGTGTCCAAAGACGTTTTCCTATTCATTCCAAGGTTACATTAACTTCAACTCTAAAAGGTTCCCTCATCTCCGGTTTCTGCATTTGAGGAGCAAGCAAGTCTTCGGCTTATTTATGTCTTTTATTGTGTTGTAGATTTCCATCCTATTTTACCTCCCAAACTTTGAATTGCTCAATTGCTCTCTCCAGCAATCCTCCCAGGCTCCTCCCCTTTCTGCCATTCTTTTTTTTGAGACAGAATCTAACTATGCAACCCAGGTTGGCCTCTATGACTTCTAACAAGATTTTACTGGCCCAGTTTCCTAAATACTGAGATTGCAGGTGAGAACAACCATACGTGGCTCTCTTTCCTTTTCTTTCTTCCTGTTTTTCTGGTGCTTATATCAAACTCAGAACCATGCCTGTATAAGACATTTCTTTTATAACTGAGCCAACCCTATTCTCTAGTTCCTCTCTAGGCCTATAACATCTCCCTAGGAGCTAGTGACCAGGCACACCTTCAGCTACATGGTTTTATACAACAGTAAAGGAAGATTCTGTCTTTTGTTTCCAATCATCTTTGTTATGATGCCATTCATTTTGGCCTTTTTAACAAAAGCAAAACTTTTGAATCTTTGGGGAACTATCTGTGATGCAGAGTCCTTCATTTCATCCAGAATATCAGTGATTCTTCAAAGGCAATGAAAGCACAAGCCCCTGAAATGTATTAGAATGTGATAGGGGCAGTTGAGAGTAGAACTATATTTATCAAAAGAGGGCAAGGGACAAATAAAGGTTGAAAAACAATGTCCTAGCTGTGATCTAAGCAAACTTTAGAACTGATTCATAGAGATGAGAACATGGGGAATGTGTATTATATGTCACTCACACGTTTAAGATGAGACAAGGGCTGAGACCCACTTATTTTGATTACTCAATGCTAAACAGTGTTTTGGACTTGTCTTTGTGAAAACTCAGTCCTGGTTGAGTTGTCTTGTTCACTTGCATACATTCAGAGAGTTCTCTCTAATTGTTCTCTTCTGCTTAACTGGGCTGTAGTTAAGTGTTGGGAGGTCAGGGTGGGTGATCACTGTAATGGGCCTAGAGGAATCAGGGCCCTCCCCTAACCCCCCCAAAAAAAAAAAGCAAACAGGGAGGTTGAGACATCTTCCCCAGTTGGATTTAAAGGAACATATAGGTGGGCTGGGAAGGTGGCTCACTGGTAGAGCGCTTGCCTTGCATGCCTGAGGTCCTGGGTTCGATTCTTCAGCACCATATAAGCAGGAAAAAAAGCCGGAAGTGGCGCTGTGGCTCAAGTGGTAGAGCGCTAGCCTTGAGCTGAAGAGCTGAGGGATAGCGCCCAGGCCCAGAGTTCAGGTACACACGACCGGACATAAAAAAAGGAACATATAGGTGCTATGTTGGACCCAATGGTCTGGATTCCACATGTTTCCTTCCCACTTTCTTTTAGCCAACAGGACCACATTGGGGATTAGAGGCTGAAAGATCAAAAGGTGGGGGGGAGGAGAAAGACCATATATAGTTTGCTTTGCTAAGGGGCTATGGCTCTCCCCACTGGCAGGCTCCTGTCCCCTAGAGGAACCTTGAATCAGCTGATGCTCAAAAAGGAGTCCAGGAGTGTCTGATCAGTTGTATTGGATTTGGACATTAATTCTGGGTTTGTGAGGAAACCGAGGCCATCAGGGGTTCGTTTGGGCTCTTCACTGCCCTGCTCTCGCCCTTTGTGCCCTCTGCTTCCCTTCCCAGTCCCGATTCACTAGCAGCTGGCCATCTCTCCTCAAATTTGGATTCTGCAAGTCCAGAGTGATGCTCGGATCTATTTTGAGGTGGGGAGGGGATGTCTCCCAGCCACACTCAGCCACCAGGCCCGGCTGCATCTTTTACTTTCACTCTCAGCTCACCTCCCGCTCCTGGGCAGGAGGAGCAGAAAGAAGTTCTTTAAAGTGTAAGCGGGGATTTCAGGTGACCCATCGCAGCCGACCCCATCGTACACGCAGGAACTGGGCAGACTCTGCTGGGTAGATGGACATGCCACTCGGCCAGGGACATTCTGTCCACCACTGCCGAAAAACAGCGCCTGCTCTGGTGAGACCCACTTTGCCACCTCGGACATTCTATCTGCTCCCAGCCCTAAGCGTCTTGGATATTCTGAGGGGACCCATGCAGACCATGACACCCCAAGTTAAGCCAAGCTGACCTGCCCGAGTAAGTCTTCCAGTCTGGGCTCTGCCGCGCTCACGGCGGACGTCCGACCCCAGTCCCTGCCTGACTCTCACCGCACCGCTCCGTCCGACCGCGCGGCAGCTGAGAAGGGAAGCGTGTGCGACCCAGGCGCACCTCGCTCCCAGACCCCGCAGTCTGCCCCCAGCCTGGCGACGTCAACGGCCCGCGTGCTGGGCGGCCGCCTCGCTCTCCCCCGGATGACCCGGGCCTCCGCCACCCTTTTCGCCCCCTTGGCCGTCTACCCTGTGCCCCCAGATTCCAGGATACTTTCTTGTAATGATTTCTAGACTCCCCACTCAGCTGCGAGGAGCTCCTGTCCTGGCTTCGAGGCTCCGACTTCGCTCTCGATCCCCAAGTCTTCGGTCCCAGGTCTCCCGTGTCCTTACCTCAACTTTCCTTACGCCCAAGTACGTCCGCCCTTCCAACCTCGACCCGTCCCCCAAGCACCGGAGTTCAGCTGTCCCAGATCTCCATTTAGGAGTCCCGGAACCAGCCATGGTCCTTTGACCCCTTGAGCTCCTGTCCCCCTCTTGGTCAAGCACTCACGGTGCGTCCTGCAGCAGGCAGACTCCCGTTAGAGGCGGCGGCGGCAGTCGGGAGCGCAGGCTGGGGCCACGGGCCGGGCACCCGGCCGGGGTGGGGGCCGCCCCCCGCTCCCGGTCGGCCGCTCCGCTCCGGCGCTCCTAGACGCACGAAGCGAGAGTGAGCTTCGCAGTGGACTGCCACCCTCCACCGGCGCCCATTCACTTTATGGCAGCCCAGGGCGCCCCCAGCCCTCGGCTGCGAGCCGCGCTCCTCAGGGCCCGCCCCTTTCCAGCTGCGCTGCCCGGGCTCCACCCTTTCCAGCTGTGAATATCCAGGCTCCGCCCCCAGGGGAGGGATCTGGCCCAAAGCCCCATCCTCTAGCCAATCAGAAGCGCTTCTCCGCAACGGGACCCCCCACCCTCCGCCTCGCATCCCCACGTGGCCGGGACCCGGTGCTCGGGCTAGGAGGCTTTGACAGAGCAAAACCAGCCCAAGTAGCTCTGTCACGTAGCTCCGGACCGTGGTGGCTGGCTGACGGTAAAGTCAGTGAGTGAGGAGGAACAGAACAGAGAGGGGAGGAGTGCTGGGCGCCAGGTGGGGAAGGCACGGCCGGCCCCCGCGTCTCAGCTCGCAGACTTTGCCGCTCAAGTTTCGCCGATTTTCTCCACTTGTTGCTGTCTGTCTCTCCGCTCCTTTGTCTCTGTTCCAGTCCTCCCGCGTCTCGTCTTTCTTTGCTCTTCGCCGCGTTGCTTTGTTTGCCCCCTCCTCCCTCTGTGGCTTTGATTTCTCTGCGCCCGTTTTCTTCACATCTTCCCTCCTCTCTTCAGCTATCCTCCACATTTTTTCTCCCTCTCCCGTTCTTCTTAAAAGAAAAAAAAAATCACTTCTAGGAGGAAAAAAGCACTCGTACTTGGAGAATTATTCCCTACCTCCAGCCCGAAGTCTCCCACCGGCGCTCGGAGTTGGTTCCGGCCCCACTCCCCTTCCTTTTCTTCCCGACTCGCCTTTAGTGGCAAGCGACTTCAGCACTTGCCCAGCAAGCGCTCTTCCACGGAGCGAAATCCTCAGCCCCTGCGTTTATTTCAAAAGTGTGGACCCTCTGTCTCTCACCGTTAGTTTGCTCAGGAGAACCAGCTCCTGCAGGGCTGATTTTCCATATAGAGTCAGTCCTGTGGGCAAGGTGGTACTTATTGATTAGGAATCCAGGGACAGGTACAGTTGTCAAGGAACAAGTAAAGTTGCTTGGATGCACTGGAGAACCCAGAGCATAGTCATATAATATTCTCTTAAGGTTATGAGTACTCACCTCTTTGCTTAAAAACCCTCAATGGCTCTTAATGTCCTTAGGATAAAGATCAAGCATAGTCTGGCATACTAGACCTTCAGTGTCTGACATTGTCTTTATTTCCAATCTTTTAGTATATTCCTAATCACTTCTGACATTTCCGGACAGTAGCCAATCTCCATCTTGCCAATATTTACTCATCCTCCTAAGTTTCACTCAGTTCTTATTCTAAGAAGTCTTTCCTGAACTCTGAGACTAGCCAGATGTCTAGCCTCTCACTCCCATCTTACTCCACCCACTGTACTGAAGTGATCAGTTTTTGTTTTGTCCCCTAGAACAATAAAATTTAAGAGAACAAGCACTATGTCTTTTCATCTTTCTATTCCTAGGCATAATGTAGAAGTTTAATATGCCATACTAAAATCTGAAAGGAAGGTGTTTGATCAGATAAGTTGATGGCTAATAGCTAAAAGGAATTAGGGAATTATCATCTCTCTTTTGCCAATTTTAAATGTGTAATAATATAATTTTAAGATGATGAATATTTGGAGGCATATAGAAGCAGAGATGGGAAAGCAGGGAGTTTTGGCTCATTTTTATAGGATTTTCCAATTGACTCTCCAAGACTTCTCTGACACTGGCTCAGGAGACCAAATCCCAGTTTTCCATTGAAGAAGAAAATGGCTCAGTGGTACTATGGAAAGAGGGATTATGGTAAAACATCCTCCCCTTATTTGATTTGGGTGAAAGAGATGAGATCCGTTGCTGGACTAAGACCAGGATCTTAGTGTGCAGGAGCTGTTTAGATGTTTCTTTCTTTTTTTTTTTTTCCAGTCCTGGGGCTTGAACTCAGGGCCTGGGCACTGTCCCTGAGCTTCTTTTTCTCAAGGCTAGAGCTCTACCACTTGAGCCACAATGCCACTTCCAGCTTTTTCTGTGTATTTGGTACTGAGTAAATCAAACCCAGGGCTTCATGCATGCTAGGCAAGCACACCACCACTAAGCTACATTCCCATTCCAGTGTTTCTTATCTTTTTTTTTTTTTGCGTGTGCTGCTCCTGGGGCTTGAACCCAGGACCTGAATGTTGTTTCTGAGCTTTTTTTGCTCAAGGCTAGTGCTCTACCACTTTGATCCACAGCACCAGTTCTGGTTTTCTGGTGGGTAATTGGAGATAAAAGTCTCATGGAGTTTCTAGTCCGCACTGGCTTTGTACTGTGATCCTCAGATCTCAGCCTTCTGAGTAGCTAGGATTATAGGCATGAGCCAATGGTGCCAGACTAAGATCATGTTCTTATGGGGTTAGGCATGGAACTTTCCTAAACTTGAGTCATTTGTAAGTGGGAGAAAGTGAGGAAACTGTTATTATCTATTCTCAATGCCTCTAAGCAGCCTTTCCAATCTCAGGAATACCTGGATCTATTCAACAGCTATGCCAGAATCCCATTCAATCTGCAGGCAGATTCTAAATTGTCTGCAGGTATCTAAATCTGCAGACAATTCTAAATATTGTGGCAACCTGGAATCTCTCTCTTTAAATACAGTACCAATCTTTATTAAAAATTAATAAGTTTCAGTATTTTTGTTTTAGGTTTCTATAGTTTAGGTACATGCAAAATTTTTTCCTTCCTTCCTTCCTTCCTTCCTTCCTTCCTTCCTTCCTTCCTTCCTTTCTTTCCTTCTTTCTTTCTTTCTCTTTTTGTCAGTTGTGGGGCTTGAACTCTGGGCCTGGGTCCCGCCTGTGAGTTCTTCAGTCCAAGGTGAGTGCTCTACCACTTGAGACACAGTGCCACTTCCAGTTTTCTGGTGGTTAATTGGAGATAAGAGTCTTATGGACTTTCCTGCCTGAGCTGGCTTTGAACTGTGATCCTCAGGGGCTGGGAAGGTGGCTCAGAGGTAGAGTGCTTGCCTTGCAAGCCTGAGGCCCTGGGTTCAATTCCTCAGCACCACATAAGAAAAAAGAAAAAAGCCGGAAGTGGCGCTATGGCTCAAGTGGTAGAGTGCTAGCCTTGAGCTGAAGAGCTGAGGGACAGTGCCCAGGCCCAGAGTTCAGGCCCCACGATCGGACCCAAAAAAAAAGAACTGCAATCCTCAGATCTCAGCCTCCTGAGTAGCTAGGATTACAGGTGTGAGCCACCAACACCTGGTTCCAAAATGACTTCATAGTCTGCACTTATCCCATTTGCCCAGGGACCAATTGTGACCATTTGATTTAGATTCTGACCCTCAGGCCAATCTTTCTTTTTTTTTTTGGGAGGGGGGTCCGGTCGTGGGGCCTGAACTCTGGGCCTGGGCGCTGTCCCTCAGCTCTTCAGCTCAAGGCTAGCGCTCTCCCACTTGAGCCATAGGGCCACTTCCGGCTTTTTTCTTTTTGCTTATGTGGTGCTGAGGAATCGAACCCAGGGCCTCATGCATGCAAGGCAAGCGCTCTACCACTGAGCCACCTTCCCAGCCCTCAGCAGCACTTTTTGTTGTTTGTTTTTGTCGGTCGAGGCGCTTGAACTCTAGGCGTGGGCTGTGCCTGCACTCTTCAGCTTAAGGTGAGCGCTCTACCACTTAAGCCACAGTGCCACTTCTGGTTTTCTAGTGGTTTTTATTGGAGATAAGAGTCTTACCTGAATGTGAACTTTAAATGATATCTAATGAATATTTTCATTGCATATTTTAATAGTTATAATGAGTGTATGTCATTTCAAATAAAGCCATATCCAACCATCAAAAAAAAAAAGTGTCTCATGAACTTTTCTGCCCAGGCTGGCTTTGAACCGTGATCCTCAGACTCAGCATCCTGGGATTACAGCTGGGATTACAGGTGTGAGCGACCGGTGCCCAGCTATTTTTTTCCTTATTATTATTACTTTTTAATCATCTTTAAGTAGTTGTACAAAGGAGTTGCCATTCAGCAATGCAGTTTTATGAATATGATGCAGCTTGATCAGTCATCCCTTTCAACATTCTCACCTGTCTGTCCCAACCCACCCCTTTCCTCACTTCTCTTCATTTTGTAGGACATACATTGAATTTTTGACTTCAATCTCCTCCTTCTCTTCATTCATCTACGCCCCTCCCCGCCCCTCCCACCTTACGTATCTCAATTACCCATTTCCTGGTGTTAATTTTGTTGAACTATGATTTTACCTTTCTAAGGAATTACACCTAGGTCGGGTGCTGTGACTCACGCCTGTAATCCTAGCTACTCCGGAGGCTGAGATCTGAGGATCACAATTCAAAGCCAGCCCTGGCAGGAAAGTCCGTGAGACTCTTTTTTTTTTGTCGGTCATGGGGCTTGAACTCTGGGCCTGGGCGCTGTCCCTCAGCTCTTCAGCTCAGGGCAAGCACTCTACCACTTGAGCTACAGCACCACGTCCAGTTTTCTAGTGGTTTATTGGAGATAGGAGTCTCACGGTCTTTCCTGCCCGGGCTGGCTTTGAACCGCGATTCTCAGATCTCAGCCTCCTGAGTAGCTAGGATTACAGGCATGAGCCACCGGCGCCTGGCTGTCCTTGAGACTCTTATCTCCAATAAACCACTAGAAAACCAGAAGTGGCGCTGTGGCCCAAGCGGTAGAGTGCTTGCCTTGAGCTGAAGAGTGCAGGGACAGCACCCAAGCCCAGAGTTCAAGCCCCTCGACTGACCAAAAAAAAAAAAAAAAGGAATTACACTGAGTTCTCCCCTGAATCTACTGTATTTGTTAATATATTTGTATATACTTGCATACCGTCCACAATATTTATATATTTATAAATGAATTCTAGTTTCCACATATGTGAGAAAACATGTAATCTTTTTCTGGGCTTGACTTAACTTAATTTTTTTTTCCAGGTCCTTCCATTTCTTTGCAAATGATACATCATTCTTTC